ATATAGTGCCCCTCTTTGTCTCTCTTAACGATGTTTGTGGTGAAGTTTTGGTTGTCTGATATTAAGATGGCTACACCTGCTCTTTTTTCTTTTCTGTTGGCATGGAATATCTTTTTCCAGCCTTTCACTTTCGGTCTGTATGGATCTTTGTTGGAAAGATGTGTTTCTTGTAAGCAGCAAATAGATGGGTTTTGTTCCTTATCCCAGTCAGACAATCGGTGTCTTTTAACTGGACAGTTCAGGCCCATTCACGTTCAATGTGACTAATGAAAAGTGGTAACTTTGCCCTGCCATTTGCCAAAGATAAGTTCTAATATATGCTTTGAATTCCCTGTGATCTTTTGCTGTGAGGTTTCCTTCCTTTACCTTCTTTCATATTGATGACCGTGTTTCTGTGTTTCTGTGTGTAACACATCTTTAAGCATCTCTTGCAGGGCTGGACGAGTGGCGACAAATTCTTTCAATTTCTGTTTGCTATGAAAAGTCTTTATTTCACCTTCATTCACAAATGATAGCTTTGCAGGATATAATATTCTGGGCTGGCAGTTGTTCTCTCTTAGTACCTGGGCTATATCTCGCCATTCCCTCCTAGCTTGTAGGGTTTCTGATGAGAAGTCAGCTGTGAGTCTGATTGGAGATCCCCTGAAAGTAATTTGACCTTTCTCTCTTGCACATTTTAGGATCTTTTGTTTCTGTTTCACTGTGGTGAGTTTAATTACCACGTGTCGTGGTGAGGATCTCTTTTGGTCGTGTTTATTAGGGGTTCTGTGAGCTTCCTGTACTAGGATTTCTCTGTCCTTCTCCAACCCTGGGAAATTTTCTGCTAATATCTCACTAAAAAGGCCTTCTAATCCTTTCTCCCTCTCCATGCCTTCAGGAACTCCTAGAACCCGAATGTTGTTTTTTTTAATAGTATCCTGATGATTCCCAACAATATGTTTTAGATTTCTAATTTCCTCTTCTTTTCTTTGGTCTGACTGTATCCTTTCCTGTTCTCTGTCTTCTAAGTCCGATATTCTCTCTTCTGCTTCACCCATTCTGTTTGTAAGGCTCTCTATTGTGTTTTTCATTTGATCTATTGAATTCTTCACTTCATTATGATTTCTCGTCACTATCACAGTTTCCTGTTGTACTAGTTGTTTTGTTTCATTTTGATTCCTCCTTAATATTTCATTTTCACGAGAGAGATTTTCTACCTTGTCCATTAAGGATTTCTGTAGTTCAAGAATTTGTTTTTGAGAACTTCTTAATGTTCTTATCAATTTTTTGAGATCTGCTTCTTGCATTTCTTCTATCTCATCATCTTCATAATCTTGAATTGGGGTGTCTTTTTCATTTGGGGGCATCATGGTGACTTCCTTGTTTTTATTACCTCGGTTTTTGCGTTTGTTATTTGGCATATTGGAGATATTTGGTTTCTTCACTATGGTGCTTTTTCTTGTTATACTATGACTCTAGATTAAGTGGACTGTCTGTTTTTGATGGAGCCTTAGAGGCTTGAGATGGGTGTGGCCTGAGAGCTCTGTTTGGTGTGCCAAAGGTGACACTCCCAGGTTAGGCATGGTAGATCTCTCTCTCTCTCTCTCTCTCTCTTTTTGATTCAAAAGGGAAGTAATTCCACACAGCTGAACAAAGTTGGAGGTAGTTAGCATGCAAATGATATACCCACAGGAGCCAAAGATCGGAAGCTCTTTCCCAAGGACCACACAGGGAATTTGTTCTGCCCTCAGGGTGGGCTCAGATTCTCCTTCAGTCTCCCACTGGGTTGCCAAAGTTACAGAATTGTAGCGTCTCTGGAGAGTACTCACATGAATTCTGTGAGTTCTCTCCCCCACTGTCTCTTTTTTCACAGTCTCAGTTCAGTAGCACCACAAATTTACTAGGTCCTAATCTCCTGTTAATTCGCCCCACCCAGAGTCATGTTTTTCTGCTAGGCTCAGGGCCGGTGCAGACCTGAGGTCGCTCTGCTTATGACGTATGTCCAAGATGGCGCCTGCTCTTTGTCTTGCTTGCCTTTGAGAGGTGAGCGGAGAGAGTGAAACCCGTGTCCGTATGGGTCACTTTTCTCTCTCTCTCTCTCTCTCTCTCTCTCTTCCAGTTAGCCTGGTGAACTTTCCCCCCGGGGTCGTTCTCTCTAGTCTCCTCTTTCCGCTTGCCTGCCGGTGTCTCGGGCTACTGAAGTTTGGCTCACCTCGCGTTCCAGCGCAGGTGTGTTGAGTCTGCCGCTGGTGTCCCGAACTGTGGGCTCCCACGCTCTCCACGGAGGTCCACTGTGAATCACGCGTTCCGGAAGAGTTTCTTCTGCTGTTTCTTCCCCTACTCTTCATTGAACCTGCAGTATCTCCACTTTTATTAAACTGTCTCTCCCCGGACTATCAGTGTGCTCCCTTCCTATTCCGCCATCTTGCCTCCTCCCTCTCACTTTCTATTATCTTAACAAGCCTGCCTTCAGGAGAAAGTAACCAGCTTCATGTTTTTTGATTGGTTGTTTTTTATATGTTCATGGTTTTTATATGTTCAGTTATTTCCCATAACATGCTGTTGTTTGACGGGTTTCATGCATGTCTATAATTGTTCATTCAAATATGAAGGCTAGCCTCTTCACAAATTCTTTGAAGGATACTTCTAACATCTGTGAACTTGAGACTGGTGTTTTTTATTAATCTTTTCCACACTCCTGTGTGAGATTTTCTGGTTCTTAGTATGAAGAGTGACCTTTACATAAAACTTAGATATTTGGAGTATTTTATTATGAGACTGTCAATCTAGTTAACCATTTTGTTTTAACAATCCTCCTCTACTAAAACTGAAGGGAAGAAACACCTCGTCATTATTGTCAGGTGTTGCTGGAACGTCAAGTGTCGTTAGCACATCGGGGAGTGGGGGAGTTCTCCCTTGCTCCCATCAGCAGAGGAAGCAGCGCTCTCTCCAGCAGGCCTTTGCTCCTGGCACTCTGGCGGGGTTCAGCTGGGTAGGTGGGACACTTGGGACTTTTCCTCTGCACTTTCCATGTGGGTAGGTAGGTTGCTAATAGAGAGTGGTTGCATTGTGACAGCTCCGGCTAACCTGTGCAGATACCCTGGCTAACTGGCAACACAGTCACAGCTGTGGGATCTCCAGCAACCAAACTTCCTTTCTTTGCACCACCCAAACATTATCCCCTTCTGTGTGCCTTCTGTGGGCTACTGAAACACCTCTACTTTCCAAACTTAGAGCCAGCAAATGCTCAGGCATGACTGAAGGGATTTATTAGGAGTAACAAAAGCATTCCCATTGTGCATGGAATTCCAAGTGCTATATTAGGAGCTGTATGACAGGAAACAAGGACAAAGAGCAAACATTTTCATACTATAACACATACATGCTGTATTTTAGTGATATTTTAGGTGACACCATAAAATTAGCTGTGTATTTACACTGTATTTATAATTATTTTTGTCAGATTGTTTTTAATAGTCTTTGAGATAATTATGCATTAAAAGGTTGGTCAGTATATTCTTTTGTGATTATCATTTTCATGTGATAGTATCTTCCCATTCAGGAATGTTTACTATTCATTTTTAAAAATATTGTATATAGATGTAAATTATTTTATTAAAGTATGTGATAACTATCTTTTTCATTAGTCAGCTAACATTCTTAAATAATAACAGGAAGTATTTTATTGGTTTTCTCAAAGTGTATCAGAAAAGGAAAAATAAATAGTTTAAAATCTGTTTTATTAATAATACTGAGGGTTTGGGGGAGAAGTATTTGAGGAGTAGATTAATGAAGAAATAAATCAAATATTTACTTTTTTGTTAACCTTGACACTTTTGTGATGTTTTTTGTAACCTTTTCTGGTTTCCTATTTGATTCTCTTAATTCTCAGTTTATAAAAATTATTGCAGGCCTAATCCCAATCTAGGCTAAGACTGCTCACAAGTATCACAACCTAGGTTTAAGTATCTATAGCAAAATTCTTTTTAAGAGTTCTTTTGACCATTAAAAATTCAGATTTTTGTATCTTAAATCATGATGCATAAAGCAGCCATTTGGTATAGCAATTAAGAAGTCACATGGGATTCCCAACTCTCCTATGTGACTAGTTTCAAGCACCAGTTCCGTTTCTGGTGACAACACCTGTTAATGCCCACCCTGACAGACAGCAGTAGATAGTTGAAATACTTGTGTCCCTGTCTCCCATGTGGGGCAACTGGATTGAGTTTTAGTTTTGGCTTCAGCTTGGCTCAGCCCCAGCTGTTTCAGGCATCTGGGCAGTGAACCAGCAGATGAATAATTCTCTCTCTCTCTCTTTCTCTCTGCCTTCAAATAGAATAAAAAATACATTTAAAAAATTTTAAAAGATCTTGGAGCAGTAACTATAATTAATATTAAAATAAACTATTTACGAACTTTCACATACACACATACACACAAGCACACTCAAACACAAACAAGTCAACCTTGTATAAAATGAAGTGAAATTGTATTTACCTTTTTCTCACCACATACAGAACCATGTTCCACAAAAGTATCATCTGACCTTGATACGTTTCTTAGTGATGCAGTCACACATATTTGGTCATTAATATAAGTATATTGTACGTCATATTCCTTTGATGGTGCTAAAACTGCTTTTGTCCATCTGCAAGCTAGCTTTCCACAAAGGACAAAACTGGCAATTTAAGGAAGCAAATGTTACCTGTTAGTCATGTGTGCATGTACTACATTAGGTAATTAACAATGCAAAACATAATATTCAAAATATACTCAGATCCCAATACCAAAACTTTTCAGAGTGTACAGGATCTCATGAAGTGCAGTTTACTAAGCCTTCATTACATAGTAGGATAATAATCTCACATTTGCTTTAAGGGAGTCTGAAGCATAACACAGCATATTCCCACGTATTTGGAGAATGTATAATTTTCTAAATACGTACTTATAGTTACATTGTCTTCGACAGCTTCCAAATTTGTCATTGTGAAAATTGAGTTCTTCTTCACACAGATATGTCCCACTCTTGGCAACTGAAAACAAATAAGAAATTCCAATTGTTCATGTTTTAAAAGTCATTAGAAGCTAAAAGTAAGACAGATTAACAGAGCCATGTAAGAGCCAAAATGCCCAAAGTCATGTCCTAAATGTTTTTTGTCATCTACTATCTGGACAAGAAAGAAAAATACAGGTTGAAAGCTACTCTAAATAGGAAAATTTGTAGTAGAGTGCAGAAGTGACTGAGAAATGGGTCATTCGCTCTCTTTTATTCAAATAATCCAGTCTTTTCCCAGCGACCGCCTGAATTTTGACTAGTGTGCTCTTCTGTTTGTCCTATAGGGATTAGATCCATTTAGTATCTTGACTTAGGTCAATTGCTTTAATATGCAATCTTATTTTCAAATATGGATATAAAGATAGCATCATTTTCAAGTTTGGCTATAGGATCATTTATTGTCTTCAGAGTACCTACTATTTAAAAATGAATCCCAGAAAATAGATAAAACTCTTACACTCTCCAAATATCCCTAAACATTGTCTATCTCGATCTCGACATCTTCCTTTAAAGCAGAAGGCAGTCTTATTGTTGCATGGTTCTAAGTCAGCTGATTTCACATCAGGTACACAAAATTCAGATGTTCCATTGCAGAATTCTGGAAAATCACATGGATCTGTGCTTTTCCTGCATAGTTTTCCTCTATTGGCTATCTGTGAGAAAAAGAACAAACATCTGTGAGCGTGTGTGTGTATGTGTGCGTGTGAGTGTGTGTGTGTGTGTGTGTACCCCTCCATCATCAAGGATTGAAACTAATGAATTAATTCTGGGAAAGACAGGTGCACTCTACTTTTTTGAAAAATTGGCACAGTGTGGATTAAAAAATCAAAAAGCTTCAAAATGAACACACACGGAGAGCATTTGTTTGAGAGTTTTCATCAAAAATACAAGGGCACTTCCCCTGTGCCATAAATGCTTAGGAGAAGAATCTTGTTCCTGTTTCCTTCCTTCCTTCCTTCCTTCCTTCCTTCCTTCCTTCCTCCCTCCCTTCCTTCCTTCCTTCCTTCCTTCCTTCCTTCCTTCCTTCCTTCCTTTTTGAAGATTATTTACTTATTTATTTGAGAGGTAGAGTTACAGACAGTGAGAGGTAGAGACAGAGAGAGAGGTCTTCTTTCTGTTGGTTCACTCCCCAAATGGCCACAATGGCTGGAGCTGTGCAGATCCGAAGTCAGGAGCCAGGAGCCAGGAGCCTCTTCCCAGTCTCCCATGTGGGTGCAGGGGCCCAAGTACTTGGACTATCTTCTACTGCTTTCCCAGGCCATAAAAGAGAGCTGGATCAGAAGAGGAGCAGCCAGGACTAGAACCAGTGTCCATACAGGGTGCTGGCAGTGAAGGTGGAGGATTAACCTATTGCACCAAGCACCGGCTCCATTGTTCCTATTTTAAACTTGGCTTCACCCAAGTATAAAACTAGATTCATCTTCAGTCCAAGTTTTCTAAGTGCTCATTTGTTTTTCTTTGCTTACACATCTGTCAATATACAACTGACAAACATATAATTAATATGATGGTGTATCAATGTATTTTTTTCTTTTTTTGACTTTTATTTAATAAATATAAATTTCCAAAGTACAACTTTTGGATTAGAGTGGCTTTCCCCCCCCCATAACCTCCCTCCCACGCACAACCATCCCATCTCCCACTCCCTCTCCCATCCCATTCATATCAAGATTCATTTTCAATTATCTTTATATACAGAAGATCAACTTAGTATATACTAAGTAATGATTTCAACAGTTTGCACCCACACAGAAACACGAAGTATAAAGTACTGTTTGAGTATTAGTTATAGCATTAATTCACATAGTACAACACATTAAGGACAGAGATCCTACATGGGGAGTAAGTACACAGTGACTCCTGCTGTTGATTTAACAATTGACACTCTTATTTATGACATCAGTAATCACCCGAGGCTCTTGTCATGAGCTGCCAAGGCTATGGAAGCCTCTTGAGTTAGCCAGCTCCGATCTTATTTAGACAAGGCCATAGTCAAAGTGGAAGTTCTCTCTTCCTTTCAGAGAAAGGTACCTCCTTCACTGATGGCCTGTTCTTTCCGTTGAGATCTCACAGAGATCTTTCATTTAGGTCATTTTTTTTTGCCACAGTGTCTCGGCTTTCCATGGGTGAAATACTCTCATGGGCTTTTTAGCCATGTATCAATGTATTTTTTACATTTTTATTGGAGAAGGAAGAAGGCAGAGAAAGACAGACAGTGCCTGTCCTCTGGTTCATTCCTCATATGACACCCACAACCAGGGAGGGTTGGTCTGGCCAGAGTAGGGAAGCAGGAATTCAATCCAGGACCAACACACCCTATGCTTCTTGATAGTATAAAAGCACTATCTGGGTCTGGTGCTGCGGCACAGCGAGTAAAGCCACTGCCTGCAGCACTGGCATCCCATATGGACGTCGGTTGGAGTCCCGGCTGCTCCACTTCTGATCCAGCTCTCTGCCATGGCCTGGGAAAGCAGTAGAAGATGGCCCAAGTCCTTGGTCCCTGTACCCGAGGGGGAGCTCCTGGCTCCTGGCCTGGATCGGCGCAGCTCAGGCTGTTGCAGCCAACTGGATAGTGAACCAGAGGATGGAAGACCTCTCTCTCTCTCTCGCTCTCTCTCTCTCTCTGCCTTTCCTCCCTCTGTGTAACTCTGACTTTAGAATAAATAAATAATTCTTCAAAAAAAAGGCTACCTAACCATTATTGGAGGCTTTTTATTCATTCTTTTTCTTGCTCTTGAGCTTGCCTGCACTTACATCCTGAGTGTGTACATTTCCTTTACTTTAAATATATCCTGCTTCCTAGCATGTCTTCAGGCCTCCGCATTGAATTTGTTCATCTGTGGAGGGAAGAGCATGAATGGTGAGGCCAAGGCAACTTTGGCTGGCTGACAAGGCGTGAGAAGGACAGCTTTCGGTCCTCTTGGTGGTTTTAGGATTGTTGGGAATTGCACTCTGCATAAGAAAGCTGGAGCTTCCTGGTGGTCCTGCTAATGATTGCTGTATTTTTAATTTTAGGGAAGAGCATTTAGTTTCAAAATCCCCAAAATGTCCATCGCTTTGTAGAATTTTAATCAAGCAGAGTGTTAGTGTAGGAGAAGGGGTTGATGCTTTATGCAAGGTTGAGCTGCTTGTGGAAAAGAATTAAAAGGCAACAGGCTCATTGGTATATACTTCCCACTAGAACAAAGATAAATGTTATTAAAGCTTTAATTCAATATGTGCTACAAATACAGCAATGGTTAGGATGTCAAAACTGTGAAATAGATCTCAGTGAACCTTAAATAAGTACAATAAAGAAATCAAAGAATTACAGAAAGAACTGCGGAGAGGGGATATATTTAGAAAAGGGCCTTCTTTGAACTTGGGCCTTCTAGTAATGATTAGATTAGGAAGGTACTATTTGGGGCTGGTGCTGTGGTCTAGCGGGTAAAGCTTCCGCCTGAAGTGCCAGCATCCCATGTGGGCGCCGGTTCTAGCCCAGACTGTTTTTCTTTCGATCCAGCTCTCTGCTATGGCCTGGGAAAGCAGTAGAAGATGGGCCAAGCCCCTGGGCACCTGCACCCATGTGGAGACCAGGAAGAGGTTCCAGGGTCCTGGCTTCAGATTGGCACAGCTCCAGCTGTTGCAGCCAACTGGAGAGTGAACTAACAGATGGAAGACCTCTCTCTTTCTCTTTCTGCCTCTCCTTCTCTCTCTGTGTAACTCCGACTTTCAAAAAAAATAGATAAATCTTTTTTTAAAAAAGAAAGGTGCTATTCTAGCTTGTCTAACCAATTTCTGCACAGCTTGACAGCACTCAAGGCCTTGGCTTCTGTGGGCAGCCCATTGTCTCACACCTGTTTCCCATGCTCTGACTATGCCCTTGAAAATCAAAGAAATTGTAACTAGTAAAGGCAAGATAAAATACAAGCTCAGTGGTTCTAAGAAAATGGACCTCAGACCTGTTATTGTAAGAAGAAATAATCATTATGTGACATGATATAAAGTCTGGCGCTCGAGAGCCAGAGCCATGCCATTTGCCTTGCTGTGAGTGCTCATTTCTTCCTGTGCTGACACCTCTCACACCTTTAGAAACCCCTGGACTGGCTGGAGCTGGACTCCGGCACCTCCACATTGAATTTGTTCATCTTTGGATTGAAAAGCATGGAATAAGCCCAGTTAGGATTCCCATTGCCCGCAGCGTATGTGGTGAGCCAGCCAGGAGGGAGGAACATGAAATGGAAACCCATGCAAAACATTGGTGAGTTTTGCCCAATTCTCACCCCTCTTGTGCCTTAAGGATCTTGGTTTCTTTCTGACATTTTCCCCTTCCATTCTGACCTCCCATAGACTTACTCCTCCTAACTCATCCATGTATATGCCCTCCAACTATTGTTGGATGTGGAAAGTGCAAGAGCTGGCATCATGCATATCATATGCCTTTGGATCCTTCCTGAAGAAGCTTTATAAGGCTGGTTGCAATTTTCTCCCAAGACACTCAGTGACCTGAGGGTCTCCTGTTTTCCTACTGTAATATGGCCATAGACTTTTAAGCTTGCCTATTTTCCTTTCACCTATGCGTTTTAAGCTCCCATCCTTTTTGCTCCTTTGGAATGATTTGCACCACTGCATATTTTGTCATCGCAACAACCAGGTGTTTGATTTGCATGCAGTTAGCATCTGCCTATGTCTGACAAATAGATTTTGTCATCCTATGACCCCTGAGCACCCCTGCTGTCTCTTTGGAAAATCAGTTGGTATTTGGCTCCCTGCACACTCACACATACACAAAATACCTACACAAAACCGACATCTCCCTATTTATTTTGGTGTGGTATTCTTCTGTTATCTTCCATGGCAAAGTATAGAATGAGGGGTCTGGAGGTGGTCCTGGGACATAGTGTTTGGATACTCTAAGGAATATTTTATTCAGTACTTTAAAGAATGGTACTGAAGTGCAGATGCAGTTGAAAGAGCCAATTATAATCTGGCTATGCTTTGGCAAGAGGCTTCAGAACCATGAATCAAGCATCCTCCAATTATGATTAAGGAACAGAAACCTCCAAGGGGGAAATGATATGGGCAGGCACATAATGTTAGCAAAAGAAGCTTAGATTTGAGAATACCAGCTGACCTGCCACGTTATAGCCTCAGTCAACCGAAGCAGCCATGCAACCTGTCATGGGCCAGCTTTTCCTGATCAGCAGTGGTACAGCTCTGGCCAGAACTTGCAGCAGTCTCAGGCAGACCCTACATGACAGCCTGGTCTGCACCATCAAAACTCCCTTTCCATGCAGCACCTGAACCTCCCTTTCTGTGCACTACCAACCCACCAAGCTGCCCATCTCCTTGCACAATATTGAAAACTTAGAACCAGCATCAGGTGGAAGTATCCAATAACGCCACAGGACATGTCTTTGCCATAAACTTGGAGATAATAATAAAATTATCCTGCAGCCACTTCTACTCCATTATGCACCTGGCATCATGACACTTCTTATCTTTGCAAAAATAGACACAAAAACAGGTGATATTCAAGCACCAACCCAAACTCTACCCTCTTTTGAATATTCAACTAAACCCCGTCCCATACAGAACACATTATGCTTCCCAATAGTATAGAAGGATGGCCTGAACCTTGTTGAGGGGGTGTTTGTTCATCCTCTTTCTCTCTCTTGACTTTCTCAGCAGTTGTTGCTTGAGAGTGCACTTCTCCTTTGCTTTTAAATAAATCTTACTTCAAGCACATCTTTATACCTCCACCCTGAATTCTTTCACATGTGGAGGGAAGAGTCTGGAACAAGACTCACTGGGGGTTCCACTGCCCACAAAACTAGAGTGGGTAAGCATTGAAGAATGCCTGGACAATGGCTGTGAAGCCACAGCAAAATACTCTTCAGCAGCAGGTGAGGAGACTGGAGGCCAACATTCTGATTGTCCTGGTTTTCCTGAAGCAGCTGCACAGAGGCTTGCAACTTCTGACTGGATCACTTTCCTCTGTTGCTGTGGATTCATTCTGAGAGGAGGAACACGATGGAGGCAAGAGGCAGAGTCACCACACAGACACTGGTAGTCAGGTGAAAGCGGGCCAGAGGTGAGCAGCTCTCAGACTCATTTATTTCAGTTGGTACAGCAGCTTATATAGCCAAGGCAGCCAATCTGGTCAAGGGGTGGTTTATGCCCTAACCAATCACAGCTTGTTGCTAGGCAGGCTCCATTGCCGGTTGGGTTCCAAAGCCATTCCTGAGTAACTGACCCTCACTTGCCAGTGGCCATCTTGGCATGGCCTTCTCATTCAACCACATCCCTCAATCAAGCCCCTCATCATAGAACACACCAGAAATTTTTCATCTTTACCTCCACAAAAAGTGATATCAGCAGTATGACAATCTCCAAACTTCATACCAAAGCTTATTTCAAGAAGTAGTAGGAGCCCAGACACCAAGAAGACAAGACAATCAACAAGGAGGAAGAGATACATGATATGACACAGCAAATCATGGTTGACTAGAAAGCTGTGGACTCACAAAATTTTTTTTACCAAAAATCAAAGGTATTTCTCCAATTTTTGAGCTATGTGTAATATGTTTTTTCTCGAACAAATGGAATTCATCCTTATAAATTGATGTTTTAAATGCCTTACCAAGAAGCTAATTAAGAAACTGATACTGGGGCTGGTGCTGTATGTTAAGCTACCTTCTGCAGTACCAGAATCCCATGTGTGTGCTATTTTGAGTCCCAGTTTCTCCACTTCTGATCCAGCTCCCTGTTGGTATGCCTAGGAGTGCAGAAGAAGACATCCCAAGTGCTTTGGCCCCTGAACCCACATGGGAGACCCAGAAGAAGCTCCTGGCTTCTGCTTGGCCCAGCCTAGGCTGTTGTGGCCACCTGAGGAGTGAACCAGCAGATGGAAGATCAATCTCTCTCTGTTCCTGTCTGTTTCTCTCTTCCTCTGCCTCTCTGAAATATTTTTTTAAAAGAAACTGATACTTATTTCTTAAGAAGAAAACAGTTTCAAGCTACACTTTGATATTTGTGTGCTACATATTACCATTATTCATTGATTCCTTTTCTTCCATTTTCAAAAAATGAATTTTTTATAAATATTTGTTTTCATCAGAACATTGCACATCAAATTGTGTAGGGTGATTCATTTAGGATTTTGTGATTTTGTTCTAAGATGTTCAATCATGATGAGTTACATTAAGATATAAAGAAGATGAATTCATAGGACCAAAATAATCTGGAATTAGTGGTGTATTGAAGAGCTGAATGAGTCTTCAGGGGAGAGTGAAAATTTTTATTGAAAAAATGGAGCTAAGAGAAAGGTTGAAATATACCAAAAAACATCTTTGAAATAGTGAAATCAGTTGAGCATGAAATATTAGTTATCAGAAGACTAGGCTATTGACTTGAAAACACACACACATATAAAACATATATTTAATATATAAATCCATAGAAAAATAACAAATGTCCTCCAAAAAACATACTGCGCAGACTAGTTAAAGGCATGAAATATTTTTTTTTAAACTTTTATTTAATGAATATAAATTTCCAAAGTATGACTTATGGATTACAATGGCTTCCCCCCATACCGTCCTTCCCACCCACAACCCTCCCCTTTCCCACTCCCTCTCCCCTTCCATTCACATCAAGATTCATTTTCGATTATCTTAATATACAGAAGATCAGCTTAGTATACATTAAGTATGGATTTCAACAGTTTGCTCCCACACAGAAACATAAAGTGAAAAATAATAGATGATTTTTTTTAAATGATGATGAAATCAGAGCAGACCTATTGTCATGTTTAATCCCAGTGAGAGTCAAGTTGGGAATTGATAATTTCTTTTTTTTTTTTTTTACAGAGGATCAGTTTAGTATGCATTAAGTAAGGATTTCAACAGTTTGCACCCCCATAGAAACACAAAGTGAAATATATTGTTTGAGTACTCGTTATAGCATTAAATCTCAATGTACAGCACATTAAGGATAGAGATCCTACAGGAGGAGTAAGTGCACAGTGACTCCTGTTGTTGACTTAACAAATTGACACTCCTGTCTATGGCATCAGTAATCTCCCTATGCTCCAGTCATGAGTTTACAAGCCTAGGGAAGCCCTCTGAGTTCTCCGACTCTTATCTTGTTTAGACAAGGTCATAGTCAAAGTGGAGGTTCTCTCCTCCCTTCAGAGAAAGGTACCTCCTTCTTTGATGACCTGTTCTTTCCACTGGGATCTCACTCGCAGAGATCTTTTGCCAGAGTGTCTTGGCTTTCCATAAAGGCATGAAATATTAACATGCCATTAAGAACCAGACTATAAAAGCATATCAAAGTGAAAATGAATTAAAACCATGGAAATACTATTTTAAAAAGGTAAACACAACTATATTAGAACACAGTAAATTTCATGAAAGAAAATAATGTGATATTTTGAAAGCTTACCAGGCAAGTTTTTGCGTCACAGCATGGTCCAGTGCCACACTCGGAAAATCCAATCAGAGTACAATCCACAGGATTACAGCATTTTTTGTGACTGCATGACTAAACGCAAATATATTCAAGATAAATACAGAAACTTTGATTCCCAAAATGATTCTACTGAGTCTGTACCACATGTCACATGATGTTTTGGTCAAGGGCAGATTGCATGTACCATGGTACTTTCAAAAACTTGTAGTGGAGGTGAAAAATTCCTATCCCCTAGTGATGTGGCCATCTTCACTGTAGTGCAACATTATACTCAAGTGACCGTGCAATGCTGGTGTGAACAAACTACTATGCTGTCAGTTATGGAAAATGGGGCACACACAACTGGCTACAGTACATAACATTGGATAATAGCACTGCAAACCACCATGCTACCAGCCTAATGTGTATTCAGCACACTGTACTTCTGTCATTGTATTGGAGTGTCCTCCTTCTACCTGTAAGAAAGAAGAGAACTGTAAGGCAGCCTCAGCAGGTGTTTCAGGAGCTGTCCAGAATAAAACACTAACACAGGAGATGACAGCTCCACGAGTTATTGGCCCTAGTGAAGTGCCCCTGAAGGCAAAAGTGGAGGTGGAAGGTGGTGTTATTGAGGATGCTGACCTGGCGTAGGCCTGGGGAATATGTGTGTTTTCTCTTAATTTCCAACACAATATTCTAAAGCAAAAATAAAAATTAACAATAGATAAAAGTTTATTGACTAAAGACATAAAGCAATTATTTTGCATAGTTTATAGTATGTGCTTAAGAAATTTCATTACAAAAGAGGCAAGAGTTTAAAAAATGTTACGAGCTCATGAAGTAATCACAATAGGCTGAGGCTAAATTATTAATGGAGAAATATGTTTATCAAATTTCATGTGTCCTGGGCCTTCCCCTGCACTCACTGCTCCCTCACTGACCCACTCAGAACAACATCCAGGTCACAATCATGATAACTGTTCTATTGAGGGTACCATTTCTTACCCTTGTGTCATATTTTAACTGTGCTGCTTCTATGTTTAGATATATCCACATGCGCAAATTCGTATCATTGTTTTCAGTTGCTAGCAGTTTTCAGTAGAGTAACACTACTACACATACTTGGTGCCTAGAAGCAGCAGGTTTTTATCTAACTGTGTATAGCCTAGGTGTATAGTATCCAGCAATAAAATTGCCTAACAAGTTGTCCCCAGAGGGATTCCAACATGGGGAAATAGAGAGTGGCCACTACGCTAGGCTGGGCATAGCTAAACACAGAAACACAGATAGTCATCATTGTGAACAAGTGAACAAATGTAAACACAGAAAATTTCCCAGTAAAACTACAAAGCAAATAAAAAATAAACAATAGGAATATTTATGGAAAAATGGCAGGGTCAAGTTGTTACTCATCAATAGTAACTTTGAATTTGAATGGCCTAAACTCTCCAGTTAAAAGACACAGGCTGGGGGACCAGCACTGTGGCATTTGAGTACCAGGTGCCCCACTTCTGATCCAGCTCTCTGCTATGGCCTGAGATGGCAGGAGAGGATGTCCCAAGTCCTTGGGGCCCTGCACCAGCCTAGGGGACCTGGAAGAAGCTCCTGGATCTTTGGATTAGCCCCACTCTGGCTGTTGTGGCCTTTTGGGGAGTGAACCAGAGGATGGAAGATCTCATTCACCTTCTCTGCCTCTGCCTTTCTATAACTCTGCCTTTCAAATAAATAAATCAAGCTTAAAAAAAGATACAGGCTGGCCGAAAGGATTACAAAAACAAACAAACAAACAAACAAACCAACCCTGGGGCCGGCTCTGTGGCGTAGCGGGTAAAGCTGCCGCCTGAAGTGCTGGCATCCCATATGGGTGCCAGTTTGAGTTCCAGCTGCTCCACTTCCAATCCAGCTCTCTGCTATGGCCTGGGAAAGCAGTAGAAGATGGCCCAAGCCATTGGGCCCCTGCACCCATGTGGGAGACCTGGAAGAAGCTCCTGGATCCTGGCTCCAGATCATTGCAGCTTCAGCCATTGCAGCCAATCGGAGAGTGAACCAGCAGATGGAAGACCTCTCTCTCTATGTCTCTCCTTCTCTCTCTGTGTAATTCTGACCTTCAAATAAATAAGTAAATCTTAAAAAAAAAGAAACAAAGCAAGACCCATCTATTTGCTGCCTACAAGAAACACATCTCACCAACAACAATATAGGCCAACTTAAAGTGAAAGAATTGAAAAAGATATTCCACACTAATGGAAATAAAATAAAATGGAAATAAAATAAGGGACTAATCCTAATATCAGACTAAATAGACTTTAATATAAAAACTGTTAAAAGAGACACAGAAGGGCACTATGTAATGATTAAGGGATCAATTCAACAGGAAGATGTGACTATAATCAATGTTTGTGCACCCAATTACAGGGCACCTGGGTATTTAAAAGAAATGTTAATGTATCTAAAGGGAGACATAAACTCCAATACAATAGTAATGGGGGACTTCAACACCCTACTTTCACCAACTGACAGATCAACTAGACAAAAAAAACCAACAAAGAAACAACAGAACTAACCAACACTATGGAGCAAATGGATCTAAATAATATCTACAGAATCCTTCATCCCGCAGTTGCAGAATGCACATTCTTTTCATTGGTGCATGAAATTTTCTCTAGGATAGACTATATGCTAGGACATAAAGCAAGTCTCAGCAAATTAAAAAATAAATAAAATCATACCATGCGTCTTCTCTGACCACAATAGAATGAAGCTAGAAATCAACAACTCAAGAATCTCTAGAGCATATGCAAACACATGGAAACTGACCAACATGCTCCTTAATGAACACTGGATCATAGAAGAACTCAAAAGAGAAATAAAAAAATTTCTGGAAATGAATCAAGATGATCATACATCATATAAAAACTTATGGGATACAGAAAAAGCAATATTAAGAGGGAAGTTTATAGCAATTGATGCCTACATGAAGAAATTGGAAAGGTACAAATGAACAATTGGTGCATCTCAAGGACCTAGAAAAACAACAAACCAAAACCAAAATTAGTAGGAGGAAAGAAATAATTAAAATTGGGAAAGTAATAAGAAAAATTGAAACTAAAAAAAAATAAAAAAGATCAATGAAATGCAGAGATTTTTTTTTGACAAACTAAACAAAATTGATACAGCATTGGCCCAACTTACCAACAAAAAAGAGGGAGATGACACAAACAAACAAAATCAGAGATGAAAAAGGAAATGTAACAAGAGATACCACAGAAATTAAAAGAATCATCAGGAATTACTACAAAGAGCTGTATGCCAATATATTGGGAAACCTAAAAGAATGGATAGATTCCTGGATACAGACAATCTATTAAAATTGAGTCATGAAGGCATAGAAAATCTAAACAGACCAATAGCCAAGATAGAGATTGAATCAGCAATAAAGACCCAACAAAGAAAAGCCCAGGATCAGATGGCTTCACTGCTTAATTCTACCAGACACTTAAAAAAGATTTAATTCCAATTCTTCTCAAGCTATTCAAAACCATTGAGAGGGTGGGAATCCTCCCAAACTCCTACTATGAAGCTTGCATCACCTTAATTCATAAAACAGAAAAAAAAAAAAAACCAAAGGGAGCGATAGGCCAGTATCCTTGATTAACATATATGCAAAAATCCTCAACAAAATATTAGCTAATTAAATCCAACAACACATCAGAAAGATAAATTCACTTGCACCAAGTGGGATTTATCAAGGATATGCAGGGAAGAAGCTCCAGGCTCCTGGCTTTGGCACAGTACAGCCTCTGCCAATGTGGCCATTTGGGGAATGAACCAGCAGATGGAAGATCTCTCTCTCTCTCTCTCTCTCTCTCTCTCTCTCTCTATCTATCTCTCTTCCCAACCGCCCCCCCCAATCTGTAACTCTGCCTTTCACATTAATAAAAAAATGAGCTTAAAAGACATTAATGCATTATGCCAACCTGTTTGTTGTAGGGGTAGGGATGTGTGTGTTATATTTACTTATTTGAAAGGCAGATTGACAGTGAGCAGGAAGGAGAGACAGAGATATCTTCTATAAACAGGTTCACTCTCCAGAAGCAGCGTCAATGGCTGTGACTGTTCCAGGCTCCCTTTGGATTCTCATGTGAGTGGAAAGGACCCAAGACCTTGATACTTGAGCCATCTTCTGCTGCTTTCCTACATGACTTAGCAGGGAACTGGGATTGGAAGTGGATCAGCCAAGACTGGAACTGGCTTTGTCACACAATGGATGCCAGCATCGCAAGTGACAGCTTAACCTCTTCCCGGGTCCTCAAAGTATAGTTTCACCAGATAAAACAAGGTCTTTGCGACCCAACTGTCAATAGCCAAGCTCTCCATGAAACCTCAGATGGAAGCAGTTCCCGCAAGCTGGCACTGCTGTCCACCTTGAGAAGCCACCTCCTGCTGGAATCCTGTCAACTCCAGTTCCCAATGATACCTTTTTACAGCACGAAGTAGCCAGAGTAGTCATTGCCCAGTTCCCCTAACAGAAGTTGAGGTCCATTTTTGTTGAGGGGGGAATGTGAGGAGTCAAATGGGTTACTAAGCAGTCTGGAAATGGAGGGTAGAAAATGTTCCCCCCCAAAAAGTTACCTTTAGCAAGATCAAAAGTGTCCATCATCCTTCCTCAGGAATCTCCAAATTTACCATGAGAATAGCGAGGGAGTGGGGGATCCCATCCTCCCAAGCTCACAGTTTATTGTGAAAACAAGTTCTCCATCCCACCACTCTGGATGGTTTTTTGTTTCATCATGAGCAAGCCAGATAGGATAAAGGATTGTAAATCAAGTCTTTTGATGGGTTTTTTCCTTGCCTTCTAACTAAATGTCAATCAAAATAGTGCTTGAAAACTCTACCACCGAACTCTTCTGGTTTTTTCCTCTCTTGGAAGCCCCCTTCCATGCTGCTCTGGCTGGAGGTCTTTCACTCTAATAAATCTTGCTTTATAAATCTCAAAAAAATATTAATGATCACTATAGGGAATGTACAAATAACTACAAGGAGAAAGAACAGGATGCTTAATAGATGAAACAAATAAACATATATTTCACAGCAAACTTATGGGACCAGTATGGCTAGTATACATAGATATATAATTTTTCTAGTAAATAAGGAAATTCCAATTGAAACCACAATTAGTTAACACTTTATACTCAAAATTGGCAAACATCAAAAATTGGCAATACCATATGCCGAATAGGGTTTTAAAAAGACAGGATTTATTATACAGAAAAAAAAAAAGAAAATATAAATTAGCACAAACATCTTTTAATCTAAATTTTTGATTTCTCAGGCATCATTCATCTAATCAATGACCTGGAAATTCCATAACTAGATATATAGCCAAATGACTCTTATGTACATCAGAAGTTTTATACAAGACATGAACTCTTAAGAAAACAGAGAGAAAAAAATGTATTTATAAACTTTCTGAGTTTTCATAAACCAAAAATTCTTGTAAGTCTATATCCCCAATCATAATATATTATTAAATAGAGAAGTGAATTAATATTTATATTAATATGAACATTTTAAGTAATAAAGAAAATTTATCTCACAAAATTAGGCTTTATTACAATTTTGTGAAATTCAACACTAATAAAACTTGTGATAAATTAATGAAAAATGTATAATAATAATAATAAACCTAACATTTGGGTACTATTTACTTCTCAGACAGAAGTTTAGGATCAGAGTAAGAAACAGATGGACACGCACATGTAATTGTTTAGTCGTGTTATATCGTCATCACAATGACAGTGAGCCAAAGATTGTGATTAACCCAATTCTGTTGAAGCAAATAAAAGTAAATAACCACAGATACAAAATAATGAAAACTAGTAGATGAGAAAATGAATATCAGGAAACATCTAACAGCTTATTAGGGAGACTGTACAAGCCATTTTGGAGGGAATTGTGAGATGTAATAGGTGATGATCATATCATTGATTCTACTCTGGTTCATTGTACTCAAAAGTCAAGATGAAAATCTGTTTCTGCAATCCATACCACAGATCCCCAGGAAATGAACTCTTCAAATGCTTCAAATTGAGGATAAGTCCATTATCACCTGCCCCATATACCGCCCCCCCCGACAGACATAGTTAAGAAAATACATAGAATGTTAATGACTCCCCTTTAACATCACATCCATCTTTGAAAGATTATAACAGAAAAAACAAACAAATCTTTGGATAACCTGATAAAGTTTGTGACTAACCTCTCCAACGCCACAATCGCACTGCTCTGATCCTTCCAGAATTCCATTGCCGCAAGTTCCAGATTTTCCTTGGAAAACCACTGTTGGAACTTCTTTATACTGAAGACATTCAAATTTAGGCAGTGACACTGATTGTTTAAATTCCTCCATGCTGCAGCTGCTAAAGAACTTTATACCACTGGATAGTCTGAAATTAAGTTAGATGCCTCAGATAAATGGAGCAAGAAACCTGTACTGCAGTAACACTCTCCCATAAAGTGCACTGAATTCCGAAATACTTCACTGCAAGAACAGTCAAAAGACAATGGGAGGGTGCTTTTAAATCCATAGGTCACAAGCAAATGCAATATGTTCATTTATGCTGTAATTTGTTATAAGAAACATCTGGAAAGTAAAGAACGTTAAAAGCAAAAAACTCTTAGTGCTTGGTGCAAAATGGGCTCTCTTTGAGTATATCCTATTATTGCCAACATCATTATTACTATATGAAGCCCAAATGACTGTTAAGAAAATGGAACATAATAGTAAATACAAGTGGAAAAGGTTAAGAAATAAAACTAATTATGGCTAATTATGTCAGTATAAAATTAGAATCCCTTGCTCCTTGGTATTGCCACTTTACAGCAATAGGATCCAGCTGAGAATAAGCCCATGCATTTAGTTCTATGACTCTCCGGTGTACTGACCTAAGTGCTTTGTTTCAACTTTCTTAACTGACAGAAGTTTTCTAACTGCTTAACCATTGCTTTGTAGAATGTCCTCCTATTTGTGTTTTTGAAATGTGTCCTGAAAGACTGAGGTTAGGAATCCTGGCAACAATGTCATAAGGATTATCCCTCCAATGTTTCACTGGGACTGAAAAAGTTGCTCAATATTTCAATTTATTTATAGTATTTAAAACAGTGACTTTGATACAGTTGTGTCTATTAGTCTTCATTACTGTCTTTCACCATAGCAACATATACTTTTTAATAATGTTTGACAAAGATAGTCTTTGTTAGTTTTTTAAAATTTTTATACAGTAAGCCACATCTCCACCTGAGTTTCCCAAGTGGCTGGGAGAAACTGAAGTAATTGAGTCATTATCTGCTGCCTCGCAGGATCTGTTAGCAGGAAGTTTGTTTGCGAGTGGAATACCCAGGACTTGAGCCAGCACTCTTATATGACATGCTGGTATCCTAAGAGGAAGCTCACCATCTAGAAATTTTAGAATGTCAGTGTTTGTCAAAACTACATACCAACAATATTAAAAATCACATCTATTTTTATATTTTTTGTCAATTAGTCATTCATAATTTCTTTCAATGAAATAGAACCAATGATAATGTAACATCTAAATATTTCCTGTGTGGTTACAAGATAATAATTAAGTCCATTTAAACTTTAAGCCATTTCCTCTCAATGGTTTAACTTGTTGCACTGCAGCTCCCATTCACCAGTATTATTTTTCATGTTGAAATTATCTCAGATTTCAATTCAAATTGAATTTGACAATCCTTGCAGCACAACACCAGATGCCTGAAGTTTTATTATTTTTTTCTAATTTCCTAGATTTATCTCTGCGTTGTAAAAGTGTTTGGAGAAATTAAAATACTACATTGATGTATTTACCATCTGACTTCAATCACTCCTTTTTTTTTTAAAGATTTATTTATTCGACAGGTAGACTTACATAGAGAGAAAGGGGGAGAAAGAGAAAGATCTAGATCTCCCTCCACTGGTTTACCCCCCAAGTGGCAACAATGGCCATGATCCTGCCAGGCTGAAGCAAGAAGCCAGACACTCCACCCAGGTCTCCCATGTGGATGCCAGGGGCCCAAGCATTTGGGCAATCTTCTGCTGTTTTCTCAGGCTCATTAACTAGGAGCTGGAATAGAAGTGGAGCAGCTTAGTACCGGAATATCTATAAATATGAGATGCTTGTGTTGAAGGTGGCAGCTTAACCCACTGAGCCACAATGCTGGCCCCTCTCCCATACTCTTAAAGCACATTTTGGGGGCCAGCACTGTGGCACAATGGATAAAGCCACTGCCTGAAGCACCAGAATCCCATGTGGGCACCGGTTCAGGTCCTGGCTGTTCCACTTCCGATCCAGCTCTCTGCTGTGGCCTGGGAAAGCAGTAGAAGATGGCCCAAGTGCTTGGATCCCTGCACCTGCGTGGGAAGAAGCTCCTTGCTCCTGGCTTCGGATTGACTCGGCTTTGGCTCACACACTCTCGCTCTCTCTCTCTCTCTCTCTCTCTCTCCTCTGTAACTCTACCTCTCAATAAATAAATAAAATCTTTTTTAAAACCCCACACAGTTGGCTCTAAAGAAGACTCCACATCACTACCTTGGTTTTTGTTTTTTTTTTTTTCTTTTCCCAGCAGATGTCGCTGCTGTCGCCTCAGTTATTCAGACTGTACAGGCACATTCTGTTGCAGTGAGTTAGACCACTAACTGCAATGCTGACCTCCTATATCAGAGTGCCAGTAGGAGTCCCTGCGGCTACATTCCGGATCCAGGTTCCTGCTAATGCCCCTGGAAGGCAGCAGCAGATGATTCAAATATGTGGGCTCCAGCCACCCATGTGGGAGACCAGGATTCTGTTTCTGATTGCTGATTCAGACTGGCCCAAGTTGCAGTCATTTGAGGAATGAACCATGGGATGTAAGATCTCTGTCGCTTGCTCTCATTCACTTTGTCACTCTGCTTTTCATATAAATAAATCTTTAAGATTTATTTAAGATTATATACGCTCATGTTTTTTTTTTATTATTATTATTATTAGTTATATGAAAGGCAGATTTACAGAAAGAGAGAGAGAGAGAGAGAGAGAATGAATCTTACATCCTCTAGTTCACTCTTCAAATGGCTGCAACAGCCAGGGCTGGGGAGGCCTACACCAGGAGCCAGGAGCTTCAGCTGAGAGTTCCACATGGGTGGCAGGGGCCCAAACACAGGGGCCATTTCTGTTGCTTTTCAGCTGGACTTTTAGTGGGGAGCTGGATTAGAAGTGGAACAGCTGGGTCTGAAACTGGTGCCCATGTAGGATGCCGGCATAGCAAGTGGCCACTTCACCTACTAAGCTACAATGCTGGCCCTACTATGTTCAAGTTTTTAATTCTCATCAATCCATTTTGGATCTCTTGTTCTCTGAGAACTGGACCTACATAACCATGTACTTAACAATTCCAACTTATTTTGTCCAGATTTAATCTATACAAACTATACTATACAACTTTCCTGTTTCATAAAATTTTATGTTTTATGATACTTGCTATTAATATGTCCAAAATTCCATAAAAGACATTTGGGCATCTCCTTTGTATGTCAATCTTAATACTATAGGTTAATATGAAAGCTATCATCTCTCAGATAGTATATTCAGTTCCCTCTGATTCATTTTGCATTAACTTACAAGAAAAAATTTTATTGTCCACACTTCATAGGTTGATTAAAAGAGTTTCTGTTTTATTTTTCTTAATAGACCTGCATCATGAATGCAGAAGCAGACTCTCTTCTATATTTCATATATTGTGTCCTGGTCTTCTCCCTCTGATTCATGTTTCTTTAGCCTTGTGCTATTTCACTTTCTTTGCCCTATGCCTAAAACGCCATTCTTTACAGTTCCAACCACTTCTAGTTTTTTGCTCCACTCACCCACAAATCTCCATACTCCAAGTCTGTTGGTTTTCTACATTTCATTATCCCAGGAGCTCTTCAGTGCTTATCCTGAATGGTTTTTCCAATACCTTCAAGAAGACTCCAGTAAGCTCCCACAGGTCTGAGTCAACACCCACTTCCTTTCCACACAGTGGCTTCAAGCATGCATTCTACAGTATCCTACAGTTATTCTCTTTAGTATGTCAAATAAGTGCTTGTGTACTTAACACATATGTTGATGGTCAAGTTATATTGTAAGAGATTGAACATCAAGGGATAGCACAAGCATTCACAAAAGGGGAAACATATATATATATACACACACACACACACACACATATATATATATATATATACACATACACAAAACACTTAAAAAAAACCTTACATTGCTTCAGGATTCATTATGCACATAGGTCCTGGACAGTAACAATTGTAGATGTCATCATATGTTAATCCCAGATTAATTCCAAGCAATTGTACCACAACGACTGAAAATGCCTCTAAAGTGCCCATGTTTGGATACTAAACAGAGAAAAAACACAGAATAATTGCCCACAGTACTACCTCAGTGCTTTAATCTTGTCAACTTTTTTGGGCCATACTGCCTAAATGCAAATGCAAACTTAGGAAACAGTTACATCAAAGCTAGTTATTTTCTTAAGGATTTAGAAGACAAAAAGATAACTTTTTGAGTAACACTGTTTTTCAAATAGCATTGTCATATAATAAAATATTAATATATTAATGATAAATATGAATAATAAAATATTGATATAGTTTTTGTGATATTTAAATATTTTATGAATTTAAATCTAATGAATATCAACATTCACTTTGAGATTTACAAGGATTATTTCAGTAACTATTATTTCTGTACAGAACACATATTTTTTAATATATATTAAAAATATACAGCTTCTAAAGAGTTTAATTAGAAACTGGTGACAAGGTGAATATGGAAAAATGTTAAAAAATATTGACTCTGAACTAATAATAATTATTATGAAAAGAGATAATTTGAAGAGTCAAGTTAATTTTTTTCTCAAAGCAAAGCAATATTGCCAAGTAGCCTTTTTCCAAACATTTACAAGTCAATGATTTTTTCCCTATCTCCATGATTGTCTATTCCCAATATCACACAGTTAATATAATACAGTAAATATACGCCTTTCATGTTAGCTTCTTTTACTTTCCAAAATCTAATTAATGAGAGTCTGTGTCTTTTTGGGAGTTAAGGCATTCGGATTTGGCTGAAGAGGCCATGAGAGTATTTTAGGCATGGAAAGCCAAGACATTATGGCAAAAAACAAAAACAAAATCAAAAACAAAACAAAAAAACTAAATGAAAGATCTCTACGAGTGAGATCCCAGTAGAAAGAACAGGCCACCAAAGAAGGAGGTACCTTTCTCTGAAGGGAGGAGAGAACTTCCACTTTGACTATGACATTGTCTGAATAAGATCGAAGTTGGAGAACTCAAAAGGGTTCCATAGCCTTGGCAACTCATGACTAGAGTGTCAATTGTTAAGTCAACAACAGGAGTCACTGTGTACTTACTCCTCATGTGGTATCTCTATCCTTAATATATTGTCCAATGTGAATTGACTAGTACTGAAACAGTATTTTGCACTTTATGTTCTGTGTGGGTACAAACTGATGAAATCTTTACTTAATATATATGAAATCGATCTTTTGTATGTAAAGATAATTGAAAATGAATCTTGATGTGAATGGAATGGGAGAGGGAGCGGGAGATAGGAGGGGTATGAGTGGGAGGGAAGTTATGGAGGGGGGAAGCCATTGTAATCCATAAACTGTACTTTGTAAATTTATATTTACTAAATAAAAGTTAAAAAAAAGAAACTCAACCAAAGAATATTGTTTTGGACAAAACAAAGCTACCATTAAAAATTGATGAACAAATTATGACTTTTCCAGATCTGTAAAATCTCTTTCGAGTTCATTAGCATATATGACTTACAGGAAATGTTGAAGAAATATCTCAGATTGCAAAGAAAGTACACTAGATAGCAACACCAAGTTATTAGAAAATTATTAAGTCCTCACGGGGTGGGAAGTGTGACACAACATGTTAAATAGCCTTTTGAGATTTGTACATCTCACATTGGAGTGCCTGGTTTGGATACCGGATACGCGTAACTTCTGACCCAGCTTCCTTCAAATTGCACCTGGGGGAAAGGGGATGATGGCCCATGTACTTAGGTTCCCAAAACCCATGTGGGAGACCTGCATGGGGTTTTGCCTCCTGGCTTTGGCCTGGCCTACCCCTGAGAGATGCAAGCATTTCAAGAGTGAACCAATGAATGGAAGATATCACTTTTTCATCTCTTCTCTCTGTGACTCTGTCCTTAAAAAAAATTAATAAAATCTTTCAGAAAAAAAAGGATTTCATTATATAATTATTTGGTAAATTTAAACACAGGAGAGTATTTTAAAATTTTCATTGAAAATGTAATCATTAGATATTTATTGTAGTGCTAAGTAGTTTTGAAATTCAGGCATAGCATTTTCCTTTTTTAAATATTTATTTTTTATTTATTTTTTAAAATTTTATTTATTTATTTATTTTTTGACAGGCAGAGTGGACAGTGAGAGAGAGACAGAGAGAAAGGTCTTCCTTTGCCATTGGTTCACCCTCCAATGGCCGCCGTGGCCGGCGCACCGTGTTGATCAAAAGCCAGGAGCCAACTGCTTCTCCTGGTCTCCTATGCAGGTGCAGGGCCCAAGGACTTGGGCCATCCTCCACTGCCTTCCCAGGCCACAGCAGAGAGCTGGCCTGGAAGAGGGGCAACCGGGACAGAATCTGGCACCCCGACTGGGACTAGAACCTGGTGTGCCAGCGCCGCAGGCGGAGGATTATCCTATTGAGCCGTGGCGCCGGGTATTTTTTATTTATTTGAAAGGCAGGGATATAGAGAGGCAGAGGAAGAGAAAGGTCTTCCATCCACTGGTTCACTCCCCAAATGGCCATAAAAGCAGGAGCTCAGTCTATCTGAAGCCAGGAGCCAGGGACTTCCTCCAGGTTGCCCATGTGGGTGCAGGGACCCAAGCACTTGGGCCATCTTCTTCTGCTTTCCCAGGCCACAGCAGAGAGCTGGATTGGAAGAAGAGTGGCTGAGACATGAATTGGTGCTCATATGGGATGCAATGGTACCCATGTATAGAATGTGCAAAGCACACACATTCATAATCTCTATCCTGGTACCAAAAATGAACAAATTATTATAATTTTTGTATATAAATTCACTTCAGTATTGGATGCGATGTGAAAAAAATATAAATAAAACACTAAAAACCTATGCAATGACTGTTCTATATAAACATATGTAATTTGTGACATCAAGAACATGAGAGGAGGAATAGTTTGATAGAGTGGAGTTTTTTTATGTAATTGAAGTTAAATTGTTATCAGTTTACAATAGAATTAAACTTTATGGAGTTTTTTTATAATTCAATTGGTAACAACATGCAGAAAATTGCTATAAAACATACACAGAAGGAAAAGATTAGAATTCAAGCGTTTTGAAAAAAAATCCTTCAAACATTAAGAGGACAGTAGGGAAAGTACAAAAATTCTACAAGATATACAGTCAAGAACAAAATAACTGTAGGAGATTCTTCCCTATCACTAAATACTCTAAGTGTAAATGGATTAAACTTCCTAATCTAGGGAAATATTGACTGTATGAGTTCAAAAACATGCTTAAAATGTATGTTCCTATAAAATAGTCACTTTAGACCCAAGAGCAAACGTTGTCTAAATGGGAAAGGAGGGAAAGGATTTGTCATAGAAACAGTAATCAAGAGAGAACAATCGTGGTTGTACTAGATATCAGATAAGACGTACTTTCAATGAAAAGTGTAAGAGGCCAAGGCTGCTATAACATGGGACAAGAAAAAAAACGAGAAATTCACCAAGCTGATGCGAGTCATTTTAACTGTGTGTCAACATGAAAAAAAATCATATTTATGAAATAACTGAAGGGAATATGAAGTGGCAATGCAATATTAGTAAGAAACTTCAAAGACTCCATTTTAACCAAAAGCCCCAGAAAATCAGAAATTAGAGAGATGCATAAAAGATGTTTTCAGCCATAAAGATAGCCCAACTGGAATGAAAATGCATTTATATAGCAATCTACCAAAAAGCGGCAGGATGCCCAACAGCCTTCAGCACATACAGAACATTCTCTAGTGTCAAATACCTCTTAGGCCACGAAAAAAGTTAATAAGATTCTTAATAACTTTTTAAAAAAGTACTGAAATAACATAATCTTTTACCTATCTCAGTGTGATAAAATTAGAACAAATTAAAGAAACATTAATCCTCACAAATACGTGATGATTAAAACACATTCTTATTTTTTTTCAAAAAAAACCCATGAAATCTGCTCCCTTTTTAAGTCATGCGGATCCAGCTGAAAAGCCCATGAGAGTATTTCAGGCATGGAAAGCCAAGACACTCTGGGGGAAAAAAAAAAATGAAAGATCTCCGCAAGTGAGATCCCAGTGGAAAGAATGGGTCATCAAAGAAGGAGGTACCTTTCTCTGAAGGGAGGAGAGAACTTCCACTTTGACCATGGCCTTGTCTAAATATGATCAGAGTCAGTGAACTCAGGGGGCTTCCATAGCCTTGGCAGCTCATGACAAGAGCCTAGGGTGATTACTGATGCCATAAACAAGAGTGTCAATTTGTTAAGTCAACAACAGGAGTCACTGTGCACTTACTCCTCATGTAGGACCTTTGTCCTTAGTGTGCTTAACATTGAGATTTAATGCTATAACTAGTGTTCAAACAGTATTTTTTCACTTTATGTTTCTGTGTGGGAGCAAACTGTTGAAATCTTTACTTAATGTATGCTAAACTGATCTTCTGTAGATAAAGAGAATCGAAAATGAATCTTGATGTGAATGGAAGGAGAGAGGGAGTGGGAGAGGGGAGGGTTGCGGGTGGGAGGGACGTTATGGGGGAGAAGCCATTGTAATCCATAAGCTGTACTTTGGAAATTTATATTCATTAAATAAAAGTTAAAAAAATAAAGAAAGAAAGAAAAACACAAAATAGTAAAATTCCTTGAAAGAAATATAGGAGACAAGTGTTAGAGACATTAGACTAATGCAAATATATCAAACTTAGAAACATTTATGCTTCAAATTACACAGCCATAGAACATAAAGCAACTAATGGAAGCATGGAAAATATTTGTAAAGCCCATATCCAATAAGGAGTTTATATCCAGAATATAAATACCTTTAATAACTCCACAACAAAAAAAATCAAATAACCCAATTAAAAAATGGCAATTTGATTCAACAGACATTCCTCCAGATATACATTTAAAAGTTCAACACTACAAACAATAAAGAAAATGCATGTCCAACACAATTAGATGTCACAATTAGGCAGTCATAGAAAGACAGATATTGCATGGCTCCACTTACACATGGAATCGAGAGTTATGAAACTGATGGAAATAAAAAGCAGAACTATGATTACCAGGGACCAAACAGTGCAGTGCCATTAGTGTAGAGTTTCATTTTTGCAAGATGAAAAACTGCAGATCTCTTTCATCGTCATGTGAAGATATTTGACTGCTGGACAGTACACTTAAAATGCTAAGATGGGAAGTTTTATGCTATTTACTTTTCCAAAATAACAAATCCTTTAAAACTGATAATATTTGAGTATCAAAACCTGAAGGCACCATCTTATAAACATTCGGCAAAGCGTTATGATAGGTGCAGTACTTGCACTTTTGTTGAGTGACACGAATGTTAACGTTCTGAACCTCATGTTGTGAATGAAGTGATGGGACAGGTGCGTACCAGAGCAACTCCTGTAGCAAACTTTGGATCACACGCCATTCCATGATATGTTGTTCCCACAAATGTAGCATAGTCCCTGTAACTAAAGAACAGAGTTATTTCTTGTGAATATCTGCTTTGAAAAGTTTCATTAACAATGTTTTACAAATTGGATTATGCACTAGAGTTACGCTTTCTTTAAGAACATGTTGAAGACCACCACGTCTTATGCTGTCAACATGTATTATTTGATTCATGTAGTTCACATAGAGTTAATTTCAAAAACTGCTGAACATTATATGATGGTAAAAGTCCCAAACCTAGCAGTGCCCAACCTATCCCCCAGTTTGAAATATCACTGCTGCCCTTGCAGGACGGATGCAATTCTAAGATATAAAAGTCAAGCCAGTTTATTGCCATGACTCGCACATAGTGTATCAACCCTAACAGTAGTAAAAGTATTGGATTGGAGGATAGGGAAGAAAGAGATAAAATATGCAATAAAGGAAAAGAAAGACAGGATGTAGCCAAGTGTGCACATTCATTTTAGTACTTTTTTATTGTTGCTTCTTAGATTCCACTTGAGGGAACCACCAATATATTTAATTTTTTTCATGTTGCTTAAGATAGTTAACATTCTGTTTCTCTGTATAAAAATTAAATAAGGAAAATAAATATCTATACAAAAGAATCTTGGAAGATGTGGATAGATGAACAGGTCCCCCTCGGGTCAGCAGGAACATACCAGAGAGTAGTCTAACCACAAGGATGGTGAAGTTACTGTTACAACGCTTTTTGTGATAACAAGCACGTTAGGCAATCACTGTGTTCTGCGAGGTAGTTTGCATTTATCTAATGCTAAAGTGATGGTTTCAGTCATTTCCCCGAGAACTTCACAACCACAGAGGACCCAGCATGGTTCCCAGGCTTTCCAGCTCCCCGCGCTTTGTAAGTGGTCTACTCAGACAGTGAAGGCATAGTAGCACTTAAACAACGTCTTGACTGTTTTTTATATTTTGTAGTTGCATATACAATATTCAAATAAAATATTCAAATAAAATATTCAAATAAATAATTCAATATTCAAATAAAATAAATAAATTTTAACATTGTTAAAAAATTATTGTTAGATATAAATTTTGTATGTTATTTTGATAGTTAACATATGAGACAAATTGTTAAACTCTGCCGGTGTGAATAAAATGCTTACATAAATAAGTAGGACATTTCATGGGGATTTTGAAATGGATCATTTTGTTTCCAAGACAGAAATCTTTTTAGTATTTCTTCAGCATCTCCATTTGTTGAGATCTTATTTTTGTCTGACCAGAGCTCCAGAGTGGACAGCATAACAGTTATTTTAAACTGAGAAAACATCTGAAATAAGAAGATAGATGATGCACAGCTTTGGGTAACCCTGCAGCAGATGTAATACATTCAATTAACTATGATTTGGAGAGGAATCTATTGGTAAATGGAACTAGTATACAGAATTACATTGTTAAAATGCAAATTCAATTTATGCAATAATATCACTGTATCAAAACTATTTCTAACTTAAATATGAAACATTAATACTTACAGAATTAATGAGACTAAAGATACGGATAACTTTTTCAGCCACAAGTTCTTCTTCCGAGCCCATAACGTCATACTGGAAGGCAAATGTTTGTTTCTTAATTTTTTGATAAAATTACTTCGCATTTTAAATGATAGAATTCTAAATATAAAAGCTAAAATAATGCAATGTTCAAATCAAGAGGCCATAATAGAATTAAGATCTCCTCTCCTCTCCCCTCCCTTTCCCTTCTCTCTTTTAAAAGGTGGCAGGAGTACTTAGGATATGAGATTCGGTGATTCCTGATGTCAGCTTGACCCATTATTAGTGACGTTAATTATTTTGATAATCTGGAATTTTACTAAGTTAAGTCATGTTCAGTTAGTATTTTTCCCTTCTAATAAATAATTTGTGAAAAGATGCTTAGAAATCATGTAAAAAGACTCTCTTCCCCCTCAAACGGCCACTCTCTTAGCCTGAATCATTTATTATGAAGCTGGTTGCCGGTGATTTTTTTTCTACCTCCAGAATCCTTTCCACGTTAATTAGTTGCTATTTTACTCCAAGGAAAAGCTTCCTATCTCATGCTCATTTATCTATTTTTTGTTAAATGTCAGATTAGACTCATAGATAATTATTTAATATGATGAATATTATACTATTGTAATTTTCTTTTTTCCCTTTTTTATTTTTATTTTCAACTATCATTTTTAAGTTTTGATGTTAAAAATGCCTCATATTTAAAAGCCCCATCAAACCAGCTACAGTGATTTTTTTAATATGAAAATTGTGTCCTCATCATTTTTAGAGCACTTGGCTGGCACAAGATGTTTCGAGTTTATTGTGTAGTTTCCCAATTCTAGTCTCCTAACCAGCCATTTTCCAAAGCATCTTATTCATTTAATGAATCTATAATTTAATATTCTACATTATTTTGATTAAACTTAAAATTAATTTTAGTTGCCTCATTTTAATACTTACAAATTAAAGATGAAAATAGCACAATTTCATATAAACTACATTAGGGAGACATATCAGAAATGAAGACTTACTAGAAAGGGCGTAAAGCTTTGGGAGTTATGAACATGTAGAAAAAAAGTAATACATTTTTCTTTCACTGAATTTCTCTAAACAACAATTCATGTCTTACAATAATTTATTTTGTGGTGTATGACAACTGGCACACAAAATGCGACAAAGTGGCAATGAGTGATGGGGGTTAAATGGAATATTACTATTGACAGGCTCTTTCTTTACATACGTGATGGTATAATACTAATTCTAGATCATGGCAAGTTAAAAACACTAACGGGAAGTAAAAGAAAAACTACTGGCCTGGGGTACTGGAAACAGAGTTAGCAGGAAAAGGAACCTCAGTTTGGAGATGAAAATAGATGTTAAGGGCAACCCAATAGTCCAAAAGGAGGAAGAACAAAAGCACCAGTCATTGATGAGACCTAAGAAGAAAACTACTGCGTAACCCACATACACAATTTTCAGGACTTTGATAAATACAAATGTACTCAATCTTATTATAAATGATTCGTCCCATTTTTATTTTTTTATTTATTTATTTATTTATTTTTTATTTTTTGACAGGCAGAGTGGACAGCGAGAGAGAGAGACAGAGAGAAAGGTCTTCCTTTGCCACTGGTTCACCCTCCAATGGCTGCCGCGGCCGGCATGCTGCAGCCAGCGCACCACACTGATCCGATGGCAGGAGCAAGGTGCTTTTCCTGGTCTCCCATGGGGTGCAGGGCCCAAGCACCTGGGCCATCCTCCACTGCACTCCCTGGCCACAGCAGAGAGCTGGCCTGGAAGAGGGACAACCCGGGACAGAATCCGGCGCCCCAACCGGGACTAGAACCCGGTGTGCCGGCGCCGCAAGGCAGAGGATTAGCCTAGTGAGCCGCAGCGCCGGCCTCGTCCCATTTTTAAAACTCAGGGCTTCCACCAAGAAATTATACAAAAAATGGTCTTATAAAGGATATCTAAGAAAAAGGTCTTCCAGTTTAGAAACTAATGCAATAGTTTACATTAAAATGAATGTAGATGTAAGAAAGAGTTTTAAGGAGAATTGGAGACGATCCAGGCTGTTGGCTGCTAGTTCTTACTGCATACATTTTATTGTAGTAGAATCTTGCCATACAAAGATGCATTATTCTAGAATTCTATGCTATTTTGGAAATCAGTGTGGAAATATTGATTCCATACGTCTATGTAAGGGAAAATGACAGTTCTTTATTGTTATAATGTACTGAGACACCTGTTTTGAAAAGAGTAAAATGTATCTGAATTGAAAACAATAGAAGTTTATTATGACTGTTTCCCACAAATGGAGCACAATAGAAAGTCATACTAAAACATCAATGATTCATACCATGGCTTTATCCATAATGATTTTCATTTTTAGCGTTGTTTTCCGTAAGCTAGTATCTGAAATTCCCTGTTAAAAAAGGACACAAATTAAATAAAACATTTAAAAATTATTATCTTGTGCAATACATACAGACACACAGAGGGAGAGAGATAGATATATCCAGTTTCATAGATACAGATAAAGACGCACTAAAACAAAAACATTGTTATCAAACAATTTTGTGGCAATTACTTTCCTCTGTGTGTGTGTGTGTGTGTGTGTGTGTGTGTGAAGGATTTAATGGGAAATCACAGGCATCCAATTCACAGTCCTGATTTGGCAATCTGACTTCCGCTTTTTTCCTAATACAAATCTGTAAAGGGCATCAATTTTTCTTCAGGTAATAATGTAAGAAAGGAAGCATTGTCAGGGTTTGCTTCACAGGATGCTCAGGAAGAAAAATTTGGAGTATCCTTGTATGCAAATGTGTCTCAAGCCATAAAACTTATATATTATGGACTTTAATCAAGCCATAAAGCTTATATTTTTATTTTTCTCTTTTAATTTCATTTTTACATGAACTTTTTGAAGCTCACTTTTATAAGTGGAACAAATTATATAAACATACAACAAAAAATGTTAGCAATAGAGTCCCCCAAGGACTTGGGCCATCCTCTGCTGCTTTTCCAGGAGCCTTAACAAGGAGCTAGATTGGAAGTGGAGCAGCCAGGATTCAAACCGGTGCCCAGAAGGGATGCCGGCACTGCAGGCTGGAGTTTAATCTGCTGCATCACACACATATTTCATATTTAACTTATTTGAGAACCAATATTATTTACCTTACATACCAAGAAATATCATATAATTTAATAAGAAAAATATGTTATCTTCTTAATGACTAAATGAAAATTTCAAGGAAGCATACGCTGTTAGATCATTTTTCTGTTTCTCATCCTAGTACATCTTATATTTCTAACCATAATCTTAATAAGCATCTTTAAAAGAAACACAGTATATAAGCAAATATTAATATAATCAACATCAGTTTAAATTTGTTTTCCATCCATGTCAGATCTCAGTAGTGATGTAAATGAAGATACAGTGAAAAAGTTCACTCACCTCTGATTTGACCAGAATCCTGTAAGAACTGCTTACATATTGATTTGTAAGGTGATTTTTTTGGAAAAGTGGATAACCAATTTTATTATTCTTCGTTTGAAAAACTATATGCTCGTTATTAGCTGAACTGTCCAGTGGTTCAATCCCATAACTGACATTCTCAAACTGCAATAATCCTCTAAATATTGAAATACAAAAAAAAATTTCATTAGAACACATTTCCCATTAAGAAATGAAAAATCAACAGTAAAATATTGTACATTTTGATAGCTATCTTTGCATTCCAATCCCTGATAACCACTCCATAATTCTTAAATTAACTTCCAAACCCAAGTTTATAACTTCTTCTGTCTACCATGGAATTTAGGCACGGCGATGGTTTGAGTCTGGCTAAGAAATGTGAATATTCTTCATGTTAGATGGGGTTTTTTATTCATAAATATTGTGACTTAAAACCTGTGTTACTAAGAAAGGAAGAAAAGTAAGAATAAGAGAAAGAGGAAAGGAATGTATATGGAGAGGGGCCAGCACTATGGTGTTGTAGGTTAAGCTTCTGCCTGCAGCACCAGCATCCCATATGGGCACCAGTTCTTGTCCCGGCTGCTCTTCTTCTGATCCAGCTCTCTGCTATGGCCTGGGATAGCAGTAGAAGATGGACCAAGTCCTTGGGCTCCTGCACCCGCATGAGAGACACAAAAAGCTCCTGGCTCCTTGCTTTGGATCGGCATAGATCTGGCCATTGCAGCCATCTGGGGAGTGAACCAGTGGATGGAAGATCTTTCTCTCTCTCTGTCTCTCCCTTTCACTGTCTGTAACTCTATTCGCAAATAAATAATTTTTTTTTAAGAAAAGGAAAATATATAGAAGAAAACACAATAGGCATCTATCTCTCTTTGTTTCACTCTACCCTTCAAAGACCTTCTGAGATGCGACTCATCTCAGGGCGCATTTCCAGAACATACCATTACCTGAGTCCAGAGCAGATGCTCAGTGTTACGGCGGATTTTGGAAACTCTTTACTATATCCTTGGTAAAAGCACTGATCCTAAAAAGAGGTATAGGAAGACACATACATAAGTAATTTATAAATCAGGTCATCGGTTTTATGCTTACTCCCCAGAGGGCATCAAAGCATTCAAACTTAGCTGTTATAACATCAGTCATCAGCAGTTCATGTTCCTCGTCATCTGTCTTCAGTTTCTTCCTCCTACCCTCTCTGTCTATGAATCATCATGACTGCCATCTTCTTCCACATAACTCTTGCTAAAATTTTATTTTCATACACTACTTTCTTATTGACATTTTACTTATTCGGTTTTTTTCCTAGCTATGGAATTTGTACCTTCTTAATTTTAGTTAAAATCATGTCTACACCTATAGGTGAACCATATGTGGTGCAGTGGGATCCCCAGCAGAAGCAAAGGATGAGGCACAAGCCACAATACTGTAAGTGCTAAGAAAGCAGGAGAGCAGGCAACACCAAACCTAACTTCACCTGGGAACCCACCTTGCAAAGCAGAGCATTGAAATAACAGCAAGTGTCTACTTTGACTAACTATCAAAGAACCAATCAACATCACTCATCACCTAGAAAACCAGGAAATCACAAAGATGGGGAAAGAAAATGAACTGATATGGATATCTAAGTGTGTGACATGTGGGAACTACCAAATCAAGACTTGAGAGATGCTACAACAAAGCTGTATCAATGAATAATTAGGAATTTTCTTAAATAAATTAAAGAAAAGAAATGAAAGAAAGAAAAGAAGGAAAGAAGAAAGGAAGAAAAGAGGAAAAAGAAGCCATAAAAATGAACAAATTAAAACACTGAGACATAAAATAAACAACAAAGAAAACAACAACAAAAAGCACACAGAAAAACAAACAACAACCTTATGTAACCTTCATACTATAGATGATTAAGGACGGAAGCATAGAATGAAAGAATTCAATAGAACTCATCCAATCTGTGCAACAGAGAAAAGGGATAGGAAAAAATGCTTAGTCTCAGTGATTTGTAGAATAGCAAAATGTCTAAAAAGAATCCATCATAGATTCAGAAGCAGAGAAAGAACTTTGGGTTCAAGCAATATTCCAAGAAATGATGAGGACAATTCCAGTGAGTAAGATGTTGGAAAAGGAATTCCTGGTCACCCCTTCTCTCCACAGGCACACCAGTTCTGCAGTGCACACAGAAAACTTTTCTTCGTGAAAAATCACAAACTAGTGTAAAATTCCTGGTGGCCTTGGGGGATGTAAAACTAGACTCCCCGGTATCTGTAGGCACATTCAAGACACATGCTTAGCAGAAACCCTGATACTGGAGCAGCACCCCAGGATTGGGAAGAGGTTCCCTGGAAGCCACCTTCACCAACAGGGGAGGTGAGAGGTTAACTTTTGTATCTGTCACCCTGACATTTTCACAAGGGCCCGAGAAACATTTTCATAGTTTCTCACCAGTCCTGAGACTCTCAAGACTATGTCACAGTCCAGGCACTTGGGGGACAACAGAGGTGGCAGCTGGGACTGGTTACAGCATTGTTCTTCATCATTTTTGCTTTACAGAACACGCTGACAAAAGCCACACCTGCTTGCTTCTTCTTGGTGTGGGAACCTGTGCCGAGGGGCACCAGCATTCCCTGTCTAATAGGCTGAGAGCTTCCCCTGGATTATAGCAGTCTTTCAAGAGTGGTAGAGGTGCCTGCTTTATCTTCTCCATGGATGCCAACACAGAATAAAGACTAATAAAGGATTGGTCCAAGATATATTAAAGAACGAACATTATAAAACTCTAGAAATGAACCGCAAGAAATGAAGCTACGTGATTTACCTGAGAAAGCATTAAAACAAACTGTCATGAAGGTGCTTAATGAGGTCAAGACAATAATCATGAACAAATAAAGAATTGCAGTGGGAAGATAAAAATATTAAAAAGTACCAGAGAGAGGGGCCAACGTTGTGGCATAGCAGGTAAAGCCACTGCCTGCAGTGCCAGCATCCCATATGGGCGCTGGTTCGAGTCCCAGCTGCTCCTCTTCCAATCCAGCTCTCTGCTATGGCCTGGGAAAGCAGTAGAAGATGGCCCAGGTGCTTGGGCCCCTGCACACACGTGGGAAACATGGAGGAAGCTCCTGGTTTCAGATCAGCACAGCTCCGACCGTTGCCGTCAACTGGGCAGTGAACCAGTGGATGGAAGACCTTTCTCTCTCTCTCTCTCTCTCTCTCTCTCTCTCTCTCTACCTCTACCTCTACCTCTACCTCTACCTCTACCTCTACCTCTCCTTCTCTCTCTGTATAACTCTTACTTTCAAATAAATAAATAAATCTTTAAAAAAAAGTGCCAGAAGGAAATCATGAAGCCAAGGAATACAGTAACTAAATTGTAAAAAAATTATCCTGGGGAGTGTTTAATGGTCAACATCAAGAAAAAGAAAATCACAACAACACAGTGACAGATTGCTGTAAATAATTTAGCCAGAGGGGAAAAAAGGAAAATGAATTAAAAAAGTTTTTAAAAAAAGGTTAAAGAAATTAATGAGGGGCCAGTGCTGTGGCGCGGTGAGTTAACGCCCTGGCCTGAAGTGATGGCATCCCATACGGGTGCCGGTTCGAGACCTGGCTGCTCCACTTCCAAGCCAGCTCTCTGCTATGGCCTGAGAAAGCAGTAGAAGATAGCCCAAGTCCTTGGACCCCTGCACCCATGTGGGAGACCTGGAAGAAGCTCCTGGCTCCTGGCTTCTGATCAGTGCAGCTCCGACCATTGCAGCCAACTGGGGAGTGACCAAGCAGATGGAAGACCTCTCTCTCTCTCTCTCTCTCTCTCTCTCTCTCTGCCTCTCTTCTCCGTAACTCTGACTTTCAAATAAATAAAAAAGGGAATTAATAGGACCAACACACAGATCAGTAATAACTCTGTGAGTCTCAGAAGGTGGAAAGAGAAAAGATCAGACATAATGCATTTGAATAAATAACAGTCAGTAATATATTAAAATAAATATATTGTTAAATGATATAGTAGAATATCTGGGCTACCCAAAATTGTAAGCATTTGTACTTTCTTTGTGATGAGACTATTAAAAACCTTCTCTTCTATCTGTTTTTATTTATAAATAAAAATCATTAAGTATAATCACTTGTCTATGTAATACCATAATTATTATATCAATTACAAATGAAATAAACAAGTAAAAGGATATTAAAATATCTTATAAATATTGGCTGCACGCTTATCAGGTGAGGAAGGAAATTATTGATACTCAGATTGAAGAATCCCAAAGAGACTAATAAAGATTCACCTTCAGCCACATTTTACTGAAATTCTCAAAAGCCAAAGCCAAGAGAACATTACAAAGGGAACAAGAGAATAGCGACTTGTCACATGCAGGGACACTCCATAGGACCATCAGCACGATTTTTTTTCTGGAGATTCCTTTCAGACCAGAAGGTTGTGGGATGAAAGACAGCATGAGTATCTTATCTAGCAGGTGAGTTGCTGGTTGATATCCCATGGCCCCCATCAGAGTGTCTGGGTTGGACTCCTGGCTACCGTTTCAGTTTTCTGTTTCCTGATTACAGATCTTTGGGGAGTGAATCAACAGACAGAAACACTGTTTGTCTCTCAAATAAATGAAATGAATTTTTTAAAATGAAGGACAGAAGAGACGGAGCCAGAAAAGGAAAAGGAGAAGGAATCTATCATCTTAGGTCTGCTTTCATGGAAATGTCCAAGGAATCTTTTCAATTTGATTCCAGTAATCAAATGTGATGCCAGTATCACAGGTGCCAGCTTAACCTGCTGTACCAGAATTACAATCCCTGAATTTATTTTTTGATGGCTAAACTCTGAGTTTAAACATAGTTGTTATATTTAATAAGTTTTCAGGGGTGGATGTTTTGGAGCAGCTGTTAAGACCCCTTGAGTTACCTGCACCCCTGTGGGAGCGCCTCAGATCAGTTCCTGGCGCCAGTCCTGATTCAAGCTTGCTGACAATATGCACACTGGCTGACAGTGCTGAGGGCTTAGGTATGTGGTTTGCTATCATCAACATGAGAGATACAGATTGATTTCCTAGCTCCTGGCTTTGGCCTGCCCAGTTCTATTGTTGTGGGCATTTGAGGAGTTCACCAGCAGCAAACAGATCTCTCTTTCTCTCTCTCTCTCTCCCATTCTCTCCCCTCTTCTTTTTAAGATTTCATTTATTTATTTCAGAGGTAGTTACAGACAGTGAGAGGGAGAGACAAAGAGAAAGGTCTTTCGTCCTCTGGTTCATTCCCCAAAAAGGCTGCAGCAGCTGGAGCTGCACCGATCCAAAGCCAGGAACCAGGAGCTTCTTCCAGTCTCCTACACGGGTGCAGCGGCCCAAGAGCTTGGGTCATCTTCTACTGCTTTCCCAGGCTACAGTAGAGAGCAGGATTGGAAGAGGAGCAGCTGGGACTCGAACCAGCGCCCATATAGGATGCAGGCATTGCAGGCGGAGGATTAACCAACTGAGCCCCAGCGCCGGCCCTCACCTCTTCTTTTCTCTTTACCTCTCTGTCCCTTTATTTTTAAGATGGAGAAAAATAAAAATATTTTTTTAATAATACACCTCCAAAGGAATTGTCACTTTGTATGACTTTGTGATGTGTTTACTAATTTTGCAGGCAGTAAAGAATTTGCATTCTTCCTAAGAGTGGTGCCATTGTAACATGAGAGAAAGTTAACTAGGTAGATTATAAAACTTACCTTTATTACTGGAGAAAATGTGCTCCGTGTTCCTGACTTGTATGAATACACCATGAAATAGGGGGGTAAAAACGACCTAGTTCAACCAAAACAATAGCATTTCATTGTAATAATATCATCAATCAAAAATAACTTCTAAAATACTGAAATCAAACTAAATTCACATTCAATTTTACAAACTCAAATGTACCAAAACTAAATGAACATATCTGTACATTTCCAAGACAGTCTTTTACTATCATATTGCAATTTATAAGAAAAAGATGAGGCCCAGATATAACCAGAAATTAGTATAGATGCTGTAATTAGTACAGATATGTAAATGTAAATTAGTATAGATTCAAAATGCCTCACTGGCAAACACAGACTTATGTAAAATAATAGCTTAGGCTTCTACATTTCAAAAACCATTTGCTGTTATATTCTAGCAATAAATCTTATGGGTGAATACTTTAGTTAACCGTTATTAATTGTTCATTTTAGGTTCATCACACACACACACACACACACACACACGGGTTATTTCAGAAAATTCATAGAAAATGTAAACTAAAGTCTATGTGAGTGCAAAAATTTTAGAAGTCCATGCATATTTGTTCATTATATACATTCTCCATGAGCTTTCTGAAGGCCAGGTATCTATTTGCACTATGTATTGCTTATGATATTATACTCTGTGAACAAAATCCAGAAATCTCAATGCCTTAAAAAAATGATGGAGGAGTTTGAGTTGTGGCATAGCAGGTAAAGCCGCCACCTACAACAGTGGCATCCCACATGGTAGCTGTTTCAGGACCTGGCTGTTCTACTTCCAATCCAGCTCCCCACTAATGGCTTGGGGAAAGCAAACAGAAGAAGGCCCAAGTACTTGGGCCCTTGTACCCCAGTGGGACACCCTGATGAAGCTCCTGGCTCCTGGCTTTGGCCTGGCCCAGCCCTGATAGTTGTAGCCATCTGGGGTGTGAACCAGTAAATAAAAGATATTCTCTGTCTCTCTCTCTTTCACTTTCTTTGTATCTCCCTCTCTGTGTAATTCTGACTTTCAAATAAGTAAATAAATCAAAAACACTGAGATCACATCGAATCTGTAAGTTGCTTTGGGTACTATAGATACTTTGATAATATTAATCTTCCCAACCTATGAACATGGAAGATTTTTCCATTTTTTTATGTATTTTCTTCTATTTCCTTCCTTAATGTTTTGTAGTTTTCATTGTAGAGATCTTTCACATTCTTGGTTAAATTTATTCCATGGTATTTAAATTTTTTGAATGAGACTGATCTTATAACTTCTTTCTCAGCCTTAGTATTATTAGTATATACAAATGCTATCTATTTTTGTGTGTTGGTTTTATATCCCACAATTTTGCTAAACTCTCTTAAGAGTTCTAATAATCTTTTAATGGAATGTTTTGGTTCCTCTTGATATAGGATCATGTCATCTGCAAACAGGGATAATTTGAATTGCCCCTTTCTTATTTGTTACCCTTTAATTTCTTTTAATTGCCTAATGCCTCTGGCCAAAACTTCCAGATCTATATTGAATGGTAATGGTGAGAGTGTGCATTCTTCTCTGGTTCTGGATCTTAGTGGGAATGCTTCCCGGTTTTCTCCATTCTATATGATGCTGGCTGTGGTTTGTCACATAGTGATATGACTGTGTTGAGGAATGTTCCTTCTATGCCCAATTTGCTTAGAGTGTTTGTCATGCTTTATCTGCATCTATTGAGATAAATCATATGGTTTTTATTCTCCATTTTGTCAAGGTGATATATCACATTCCTGCATCCCTGAGATAAACCCCACGTGGTCTGGCAGGATGATATTTTTATGTGCTGTTGAATTTGATTAGTTAGTATTTTGTTGAAGACTTTTGCATTTATATTCATCAGGAATATTGGGCAATAGTTCTCTTTGTTATATCTTCAAAATACCAAGGACAGTCTTCTCAGATCTAGAAAGAAATGATGCAACAATTCATATGGAAACACAGGAGACCCTGGATGTTTAAAACAATATTAATAAAAGCAAAGCTGGAGGCATCACAATGCCTGATATCAGGGCATACTACAGAGCTGTTATAATCAAAACACCCTGGGACCGGTATAGAAATTGAAATGTGGATCAGTGGAACAGAATAGAGACCCAAGAAATTAATCCATGCAGCTACAACCAACTAATCTTTCAAAAACACTAAAATCACTGCCTGGAAAAAGGACAGTCTGTGCAGGAAATGGTGCTGTGAATATTGCATCTCTGCGTGCAGAACTATGAAACAAGACCCCTACCTTACACCGTATATATAAAAAAAAAACTCAATGGGTGGATCAGGGACCCAAACCTAATACTTGAAATCATCTAATAGCTAGAGAAAACATAAACATAAGGGAAATGCTGCATGACATTGGCATAGGCAAAGACTTCTTGGATAAGACTCCAGAAGCACAGGTAATAAAAGCAAAAATAAACAAATGGGATTAAATCATGTTAAGAAGCTTCTGAACTGCAAAAGAAACACTCAGCAAAGAGAAGAAGCAACCAATAGAATGGGAAAAAATATTTTCAAACTATACTTCTGATAAAGGATTAGTAAGCAGAATGTATGAGGAACTCAATAAACTCAACAACAACAAAACAAACAACTCAGCTAAGAAATGGGCCAAGGATATGAACAAATAGTTTACAAAAGCTGAAACACAAATGGCCAATAGACACATGAAAAAAATGCTCAGGATCACTAACCATCATGGAAATGCAATTAAAAACCACAATGAGGTTTCACTTTGCTCCAGTTAGAATGGCTATAAATTAATAGATACAGTATCAGTTCTTATTTAAGATAGCAATCTTGAGACATTATAAACAGATACCTGTAAAGAAAAATGGACACTTACTGTTTTTCAAGAAGCAGAGTGTGAAACTTGTCCTCAATTTTGAGAAAGTAAGTGACCTAAAGCCAAGTATTCAGAGATAAAGCATTTATTAGAAATTGCACAGTATTTGAAAATGCATTTATTCTTTCATATATCATAGATTATATCCTACATGTCAAAAAAGTAGCATCTACTAAGTATCATAATAAGATTTGAATTTAAACTGAAGATCACATTTAGGGATGCTGAGCAATGACTGAAAACACTTAAATTTTGTTATCTTTTTTTTCTCCTCTGTTGTTCCCAGAATAGGTCAATTGAAAAACAGATACGACAGCACAACTTCCCTGACAGACTGAGGATGCTGTCTTCAGCGGCCTATCTATCCTCCATGGAGAATTAGGTCAGAAAAAGAGGCTCACATCGCGCAGACACAAATTTCCAGGAGCTGTGTCACCACTGACAAACATTTTGATACAGTCATATCTTGACTTGATACAGTCATGGCTTCATGACAAATAGAGCTGCAAATAGTAAGACCTTTCGTTGATGCACTTGTGACTTGTAAATATCTTCTTAAAAAGATTTTTATTTTGTTTAGATGAAAGGAGGAGTTCCACAGAAAGAGAGGGAGATATAAAGAGAGCGATCTGGTGGATCACCAGATCACCATTGTGGATCACCATTGTGATTAATCCCCCAAGTGGGTGAAATGGTTCGGGCTGGACCAGGACAAACCCAGAGCATGAAATTCATTCTGGGTCTCCCTTGTGTTTGCAGGGCCCAAGCAGTGGGGCTGTGTTCTGCTCCTTTCCCAGGCTCACTGGCATGGAGCTGGATCAGAAGTGGAGCAGCTGGGACTTGAACCAACGTCCTTATGGGATGCTGATATTGCAGGCAGTAGCTTAACCTGGTATACCACTATGCTTACCCATCTTGTAAATATTTTCAGAGTGATAACTTCTTGATAAATTTATCTACTCATCATTACAAGCTGTCATTTATTTTATCCTTGAACTATTCTTGTTCTGTAGTTTACTTGGTGAAAAATTAATTCATCAGTGCTACCTTATTGGGATTGCAATATTAGTAAGATATATTTTGTAATTCTTTAATTTTATTCCATTGATGACTTAACATTTAAAGAGCATAATAGATAATTTTCAATTTTTTCATCTAGTATGGCAGTCTCTAACTTTATTTAAATGTTACATAGGTTACGCTTATAGAGATTTACTATATTAGGAAAAAACCCTATTGTTGCTTGTTTCTGGCATATGGTATCTGTTCTCTCCATTTTTTTCTGTCTTTTCTTCTAGTTTTGGATTGGGATTGGATATACCAATATAAGCTTAAATTTAAATTAAACATACACATGCATGTTTATTCACACCACATACATGTCCTTACACATATATTTGCATGTGCTTTGATGTGTGCACCAATGTTTTCTGGCTTAGGTCACTTGGTCATAGTAGGATCAATGACATTCAGTAAGATTCATATACTTAACACAAATTGGCTTCAAAAGACCACCCTCATTCGAAGGAAATAGGCTAAAATACAATTAATGAGAGAGATGGCAATAGTGAAAAAGAAGACTTGAAGGGAATTGTAAAATGTAATAAAAAGAGAGAGTGTAGGTAGATAATAAATAATCTATAGGTTTACAACAGCCATATAAGGAATTTGAATTTGTAATGATTACAAATTTTGATGATTAATATTGCAAAGTCCCAAACAAAATAAAAGCAAGCTAGAGCAAATTTTAAAATGCAAATTATATTAGGGCAAAGTGGGGTTGACCCCAGGACTGAAAGATTGATTCACTACACTCACGGAAGAAAACACACAGATGTGCACACCCACATACACAGACAAATGCAAACATATCTGTCTAAAAATAATGCTTCTTTTTTTTTTTTTTTTTAAACAGGCAGAGTGGACAGTGAGAGAGAAAGGTCTTCCTTTGCCATTGGTTCACCCTCCAATGGCTGCCGCGGCCAGCGCACTGCGCTGATCCGAAGGCAGGAGCCAGGTGTTTCTCCTGGTCTCCCATGGGGTGCAGGGCCCAAGCACTTGGGCCATCCTCCACTGCACTCCCTGGGCACTGCAGAGAGCTGGCCTGGAAGAGGGACAACTGGGACAGAATCTGGCGCCCTGACCAGGACTAGAACCTAGTGTGCCGTAACCGCAAGGCAGAGGATTAACCTAGTGAGCTGCGGCACCTCCAAAATAACACTTCTATAAACACATAAGGGACATTAACAAAACCTATAGCCAACAGCACATTTATTTTTAAAGATTTGCTTCTTTTCCTTCAGTAAGAACAAAATCAGGCAAACAAGTAAATGGATGAACTAATGAACTATTCCCTACAGTTCAACATAAAATGTGAGTTCCTGGCCAGTACAAAAAGGAAAACACAAATACGGAGAAGCAGAACAAAACCAGATGACCCTGATTTTCAAACTGCAATTGATAAAAATCAAAGGAAACAGTAAAGGACTATTATTAATAATGAAAGTGATCTATTATATACAAGACTGATATCTACATTTGGATATACAAAGAAATGTTATTTCTATAAAATGAGTATTACAAAACTGGAACACAAACCTCATACATCCAATATTATCAAAGTATCAGCAAACATAACATGCGTAACATAGGAGAGAAAAATAAGACAAGGACAAGGAAAAAAGATACTGTGGTGAATTGGAAAACTGCAGGGATTTTGTTTCAATGACAACTGATTTTACAGACTAAACATTCCCTAGTTGAATAAGTGATTGCTTTAGGGAGTATAGGCATTTGAATTATATTAATTCTTCCAATAACTGAGCATGGGATCTCTTTTCTTTTTTGTGTGTCCTTTGTGATTTATTTTATCTCTAATTTTAGAGATCTTGCACTTCTTTGGTTAATTTATTCCTAAATACTTGACTTTTGTGGCTACTGTGAATAGACTTTCTTTCATGGTTTCCTTTTCAGGGATATTTTTATCAGTGTGTAGAAATACTAGTGATTTTGTGTGGTGGTTTGGTCATCTTACTTTACTGAACTGGTTTATCAGTTCTAATAACTTTTTTGTGGACTATTTAGGTTTTTCTAAGTACAGCATCATGTCATCTGCAAACACGGGTATACCAAACTCCTCCTGTCCAATTCTGAAGCCCTTTATATCTTCCTCGTCCCTAATTGCTCTTGCCAATATTTCCAATACCATACCAAATATGGATAGACATTCTTTTCTTGTTCTAGATATGAGGGGAAATACTTTCAGATTTTCCCCATTCAGTATGAATCTGACTGTCATTTATGGCCTTCATAACTTGAGGTTTTTTTTTAACTTTTATTTAATGAATATAAATTTCCAAAGTACAGCTTATGGATTACAATGGCTTCCCCCCCATAACATCACTCCCACCCGCAACCCTCCCCTCTCCCACTCCCTCTCCCCTTCCATTCACATCATGATTCATTTTCGAATCTCTTTATCTACAGAAGATCAATTTAGCATACATTAAGTAAAGATTTCAACAGTTTGCTCCCACACAGAAACATAAAGTGAAAAATAATAGATGATTTTTTAAATGATGATGAAATCAGATCAGACCTATTGTCATGTTTAATCCCAGTGAGAGTCAAGTTGGGAATTGATAATTTCTTCTTCTTTTTTTTTTATAGAAGATCAGTTTAGTATACATTAAGTAAAGATTTCAACAGTTTGCACCCCCATAGAAACACAAAGGGAAATATACTGTTTGAGTACTCGTTATAGCATTAAGTCTCAATGTACAGCACGCTAAGGACAGAGATCCTACATAAGGAGTAAGTGCACAGTGACTCCTGTTGTTGACTTTACAAATTGACACTCCTGTTTATGGCCTCAGTAATCTCCCCATGCTCCAGTCATGAGTTTCCAAGGCTATGGAAGCCCCTTGAGTTCTCTGACTCTTATCTTGTTTAGACAAGGTCATAGTCAAAGTGGAGGTTCTCTTCTCCCTTCAGAGAAAGGTACCTCCTTCTTTGAAGACCTGTTCTTTCCACTGGGATCTCACTCACAGAGATCTTTCATTTAGGGTTTGTGTGTTTTTTTTTTTGTTTTTTTGTTTTTTTTTTGCCAGAAATACTCTCATGGGCTTTTCAGCCAGATCGGAATGCCTTTAGGGCTGATTCTGAGGCCAGAGTGCTGTTTAGGACATCCACCATTCTATGAGTCTGCTGAGTATCTCGCTTTCCATGTTGGATCACTCTCCCCTTTATTTATTCTATCGGTTAGTATTAGCAGGTACTAGACTTGTTTATGTGCTCCCTTTGACTCTTAGTCCTTTCATTATGATCAATTGTGAACTGAAATTGATCACTTGGACTGGTGAGATGGCATTGGTACATGCCACCTTGATGGGATTGAATTGGAATCCCCTGGTATGTTTCTAACTCTACCATTTGGGGCAAGTCAGCCTGAGCATGTCCCAAATTGTACATCTCTTCCCTCTCTTATTCCCACTCTTATGTTTAACAGGGATCACATTTCAGTTAAATTTCAACACTTAAGAATAACTGTGTATTAATTACAGAATTAAACCAGTCATATTAAGTAGAGCAGACAAAAAACACTACTAAGAGGGATAATGTATTAAGTTGTTCATTAACAGTCAGGGCTATGCTGATCAAGTCACTGTTTCTCATAGTGTCCATTTCACTTCAACAGGTTTCCTTTTTGGTGTTCAGGCAGTTGTCACCAATCAGGGAGAACATATGGTATTTGTCCCTTTGGGACTGGCTTATTTCACTCAGCATGATGTGTTCCAGATTCCTCCATTTTGTTGCAAATGACTGGATTTCATTGTTTCTTTCTGCGGTATAGTATTCTAAAGAGTACATATCCCATAATTTCTTTATCCAGTCTACCGTTGATGGGCATTTAGGTTGGTTCCAGGTCGTGGCTATTGTGAATTGTGCTGTGATAAACATTAGGAGGCAGACCGCATTTTGTTTGCCAATTTAAATTCCTTTGGGTAAATTCCAAGGAGTGGGATGGCTGGGTAGAACAGTAGGGTTGTATTCAGGT